CTAGAAAAATGAGGTAAGGGAAGATTCATTTAGAAGTGTAGTAAGTGTGGGGAAAGGCGAACAAAGTAAATATTGGTATTGCACCATATGACCATACATTCATTTAGAACTCTTCAGTTATAGTAAAAGTCAAATCATCCAATTCCGTATATAAATTGGAATGTTGCTTATGTAAAGACGTAGATAACAATACTAGCCTACAGATGTATCACAACTCAATTCAGTGATCAGTTATCTGTAGCCAACAGATGTATAACTTACCACACGAGTATACTAAATCACAACTCAATTCAGTGATCAGTTTTCTGTAGCCAACAGATGTATAACTTACCACAAGAGTGTACTAAATCACAATTCAATTCAGTGATCAGTTATCTGTAGCCAACAGATGTATAACTTACCACACGAGTATACTAAATCACAACTCAATTCAGTGATCAGTCATCTGTAGCCAACAGATGTATAACTTACCACACGAGTGTACTAAATCACAACACAATTCAGTGATCAGTTATCTGTAGCCAACAGATGTATAACTTACCACACGAGTGTACTAAATCACAACACAATTCAGTGATCAGTTATCTGTAGATTACAGATGTATAACTTACCACACGAGTGTACTAAATCACAACTCAATTCAGTGATCAGTTATCTGTAGCCAACAGATGTATAACTTACCACACGAGTGTACTAAATCACAACACAATTCAGTGATCAGTTATCTGTAGCCAACAGATGTAAAAATTACCACACGAATGTACTAAATCACAACTCAATTCAGTGATCAACTATCACTTCTTACCCCGATTTTATGGCGTTTTTTCTTCTACTTCTCCTTTCTCTCAACAGAAGTCAGGGGCGTAGCAAGCCCTTGCTAGGATTGGACTCATTTAGGAGCCGGGTCAGGGCAAGGACTCTGTAGGGATAAGGGGCTGTCACAACCAGGGACTCTGTAGGGACAAGGGGCTGTCACAAACAGGGACTTTTTAGGGACTAGGGGTTGCCACAACCAGGGACTCTGTAGGGACCAGGGGCTGCCACAACCAGTGACTCTGTAGGGACCAGGGGCTGCCACAACCAGTGACTCTGTAGGGACCAGGGGCTGCCACAACCAGTGACTCTGTAGGGACCAGGGGCTGCCACAACCAGGGACTCTGTAGGGACAAGGGGCTGTCACAACCAGGGACTCTGTAGGGACTAGGGGCTGCCACAACCAGGGACTCTGTAGGGACCGGGGGCTGCCACAACCAGGGACTCTGTAGGGACAAGGGGCTGTCACAAACAGGGACTCTGTAGGGCCTAGGGGCTGCCACAACCAGGGACTCTGTAGGGACAAGGGGCTGCCACAACCAGGGACTCTGTAGGGACAAGGGGCTGTCACAAACAGGGACTTTTTAGGGACTAGGGGTTGCCACAACCAGGGACTCTGTAGGGACCAGGGGCTGCCACAACCAGTGACTCTGTAGGGACCAGGGGCTGCCACAACCAGTGACTCTGTAGGGACCAGGGGCTGCCACAACCAGGGACGATGTAGGGACAAGGGGCTGCCATAACCAGGGACTATGTAGGGACAAGGGGCTGCCACAACCAGTGACTCTGTAGGGACCAGGGGCTGCCACAACCAGTGACTCTGTAGGGACAAGGGGCTGCCACAACCAGGGACTATGTAGGGACAAGGGGCTGCCACAACCAGGGATTTTGTTTTCATTTGTTTGACTTTTTAGTGGATTCACCTGCGTGCCAGCGTATACATGTACATGTAGGTATCTATACGCACTTTAAAATGTTAAGCCTTGCATTGATATATGAGGATTTTATTTAAATTGAAAAGTAATAAAAAAAAATAACCACTGACTTATACTCAGATACGAACTAGAACCCATTATTAGGAATTTACCAGTTTTTTTCCTGTTTTATTTGTAATATATAAGGCGTATGTTCGGCAATGAAGGTAGCTGTGCGGTGTACTTTTCAGCGAGTCCAATGTAACGGGAGGCAACTCTTACAAATCATTTTTTAATGTGACAAGAAAAAATATCTGTATGTTTTATTTAAGGTAAATGGTACCACGACATCAGTTTTAATCTCGAAGATGAGTTCCACTTTCAGAATTTGTTTAAGTAACTTCCCCTGTCAAGTGTACTTTAGTGAAGGCAACATAAGGATCCCGAGGTCGACTCCTGCAGTTTGCTTTCTATCTTTTTTCTTTTTCTTTTTTCAAAAGTTCAAATTTCGCAAACAAACCTTTTTTTATATTTCATGGTAAGACGATATTTGTATGAATTATTTCGTTTGATAAGGATTTTAACAAACATTTTACAGTAGTTACAAAGGTGATAGCTTAACTTGTTGGTACCCCTTTACCATAAATACATAAAAACCTCTTGGAGTTTTTATTAAAATCGAATAAAACAGCAGCGTTTTGGGAGTAAGTGTGAAACGGGCCCCGCCTTGGAATCGAACCCTGGACCACGTATTGATCGCGGCCCGCCCTAGATTTAACGATACTTTTACTATCCTTTGTTTGTTATACCGTTACACTCCATAGGTCTATTTGCTAATTTGGTTTGTTTGTGTTTTACGTCCTGATAACAGCTTTAGTCATATAAGGACGTGTCAGGTTTTGGTGGTGGAGGGAAGCCGGAGCTCCCGGAGAAACACCATCGACCTACGGTCAGTATCTGGTGACTGCCCCACGTAGGTGTAGGTGTCGAACCCGCGACCCAGTGGTGGGGGACTAGTGGTAGTGATTTTCCCGTCCGGTACGTTTTTACGTCCATGTTTCCTTTAGATGACCAAAACAGTTGTTTTTTATATTTCGAAGCGGACTCGGACTGATCATTTAGTTTAGCTAGCTTGTTGTTAATATCAGACCCTCATCAGAGTCTTGCATACGTCTAAAATTTCCTGTAAGATTTTTATCATTTAAGACTATGAAAAAAAAAAAAAAAAAAAGAAAAATGCCCCCGTGAAAATCAACAAAATGTTCCTGTATTAACCAAATGTATAATGAACTTTAACTCTCCAAAGCGGGAATAGATGAAGTTCAAAATTGTAATAAGGTCCAGTGGGACCGTCGATTCATACAGATTTTCTTGATTCTTGCATAACTGGATCCCGGATCTAAAGAAGATGGATGTTGATATTTAATACTGTTAGACCTTTAAGACCCCTGAGGCCCTAGTGGTGAGTCAGAGTCAAACGATCAAAGTATACCCATTATGCTACTTACTGTAGGACCTTTCCATCAATGAAGAGTATTTGATTCAAGCATATCTAGATCTTTGTTTGAAAAAGAAGACTGTTGGAATTTTAGAAAAAATGACAGTTTTTGGCTCCGTATGTTAGTTCCTCTAGGGATAAGAACCATGTAACTCAAACGTTTGGTTTGCCTTTGGCCATTAAATCGTACTGCAAAATGTTACCGAAATCGGTGAAATGGAGAGGAAATCTAAAATGTTTCATTTTGACGCACGTAGGTCGGACGAGGACGGAATCAAAACGCGATCGCATCGAAAGACTTTGTCTCAAGTGACTTGCAATATATTTAGTGTTTTCTCATGTTTTTATGATATCTAGAAAGCAAAAAAAAAAATGAATTAAAAAAAATAACAACTGTATCATATAATGTATTGTATACACAATCATGATTTAACTTGTAAATATTTTCAATAACTATACCGGTAAGAAGTTGTTTGAATGGAAGAAAGAATGTGGTAAATCAAACCTTCGTTGTCTCCACATTGGCTTTTTGTTTTCCGTGTGGTGATAAAATAATCTTTGTTAAAGAAAAGTGTTAACTACTTTAAATGTAATTCCGTCTCTCAGAATATTCCAGGGCCAATTCAAAACAAGTAATTATCTTTAAAACGATTAACGGCAATGTATGTTTTTATGTTTCAAATAACTGTGTACTTAAAACGTTGTTAAAACGGTGAACTGACAAAAGACTATAAGATAAATAAATAATTTTGACAAAAAGAGAAACTTTAGAGGTTTCCCCGGGTACTTGGATTCTCTTCCACATCGACATCCTGTGCACGCTTCCATCAAGGTCAAAAAGAGTGATTTTTATACTTATTGCATGATTGTTGTAAATTGAATAGGGTTAATATTAAAATAATTGATTCTTTTAAAAACCATATTGATCGTCCAACGGGAGGTAACTCGTGTTTTACACTCGTCTTGGCGTTCAAATCTACTCGAATTTCATTTCTTTTATAAAATATTGAAATCATTGTTATGCCTGTGGCAGCTACCTGTCACATTATCGTTGTGGGTGATATAGTTTAATGGTAAACGATATTTTTAAACAAAAGCTGTGTGTAGCCCATCGCCATGATATTGAGATGCATGTTCGATCATAGTTCTGTTTTGTGAATCTATGCAAAACTAGCCCAACATTCAGTGTGCACTATGTACATGTAAGTCAAACGACGGGACGAACAAAAAATATTTAAACGATTAAAAAAATATCATTATCAAAATAAGATAAGATAAAATATCGATTATGTCAACAGAAATAATGAAAAGGAATCGTTCTAAAATAATTTTGAAATCATAGCTATATTGATTGTTAAAATATGTGTGTCTTCCTTTCATCTTTCCGATACTTAGGTGTGAGAAAAGAAACAAACAAATCAACCTTTTCACTGAGTATATTTAAAGACGTTTTGCTATAAAGTTTATTGAGACCTTAAAATGAAATAGACTCTATATAATTTAACGTATATATGTAATACATTTCAACTTCAAATTGTTAATTAACTTAATTTTTGTCGGCTTATCATTTACAAATACAAGTTTAAATACAGTAGTAAACACTGATACAGATCGGAGAGCGTTTCCTGGGTCCTAGCCTGAGGGGGATCTGTAAATTAAAGTCGGAGTGTGATGGGTCACGGTGTGAGCCCGGGGGTAGTAAGCACCTGTTCACGCTGGACCAGCACTTCCTGAATTCTTACATAATATAGTGCGGACTGTCCATCACGACATCGCGGACTCTGCCGGGTCGAAAGTACCGAAGATACCCAGACAAGGTCAAACCTCACTTATGGCCAAAGGCTATCAATTTATTCCTTATCACTTATCCGATGTTTTGACTGAACGATCAATGCAATTAGAAGGGGGTGAAGTGAAACAGTGGTCATGTTTTTTTTGGCGTTGTAATTGTGTTTAAGCCGAGGCTTCATACTCGTAGACAACATGCATAAGCTCATCATTGTTTTACTGGTCCCCGTGCTTCTAGCCTTTGTCTTTGCTCAGCAGAACCCGTTCCTCGGGTTCAACTCCCCGGGGGTGGGTCCTGTCAACAGGAACCCTGGCTCCGTCAGCTATGGACAATACGTACAGAATGATGTCAATCCGTACGCCTTGGAGGAGGACGAGGATCCTTACAGCAAACTTAACGGCGTCCTCTTACTGCGTGAGTACACACAGCTAGCTGCTCCACTCCCTCGAGTATTATCTGTATCTGTGATAAGATTTTGTCAGTTGTGTTGTCCAAATAGTATATGTAAACGTGTATATTTGTATCTCAGAGTATCGATTGTTTGTCCGGAAATAATACCTTGTTTCATTTGTCCTTCCGATAATTGTTTCTTCATCCGAGTCATTTTGATCTCTGCCCTGTTAGCATACCTATATTTGGCCACGCACCATATGTCTCAGTATCATTATTTTGACGGAGTATGCTATCTCTAAGTACCATTGCTCTAACGGAGTACAATATGTCTAAGTACCATTGCTTTGACGGAGTATGCTATCTCTAAGTACAATTGCTCTGACGGAGTACAATATGTCTAAGTACCATTGCTCTGACGGAGTACAATATGTCTAAGTACCGTTGCTTTGACGGAGTACAATATGTCTAAGTACCATTGCTCTGACGGAGTACAATATGTCTAAGTACCATTGCTTTGACGGAGTACAACATGTCTAAGTACCATTGCTTTGACGGAGTACAATACTTCTAAGTACCATTGCTCTAACGGAGTCCCATTTGCCTGTCACACGCCATTGTCTGGTAAGGTATCATTTGTCTGTCTGATGCTGTAGTGGATTTTTTGGCAGTTGTAGTCTGAGAATACAGGCTTTCGCTTTGTTGTTTGCAGTTTCCGGTGTACGTATACTCGCGTATTGACTGATTGTCAGTTTCCGGTGTACGTGTACTCGCGTATTGACTGATTGTCAGTTTGCGGTGTACGTGTACTGCGTATTGACTGGTTGTCAGTTTGCTGTGTACGTGTACTGACGTATGGACTGATTGTCAGTTTGCTGTGTACGTGTACTGACGTATTGACTGGTTGTCAGTTCCCGGTGTACGTGTACTGCGTATTGACTGATTGTCAATTTCCGGTGTACGTGAACTCGCGTATTGACTGATTGTCAGTTTCCTGTGTACGTGTACTGACGTATGGACTGATTGTCAGTTTCCGGTGTACGTGCACTGGCGTATTGACTGATTGTCAGTTTCCGGTGTACATGTACGGGCGTATTGACTGATTGTCAGTTTCCGGTGTACGTGTACTGGTGTATTGACTGATTGTTAGTTTTCGGTGTACGTGTACTGTATTGACTGATTGTCAGTTTCCGGTGTACGTGTACTGGCGTATTGACTGGTTGTTAGTTTCCGGTGTACAAATGTACGTGTTCTGGCGTATTGACTGATTGTTAGTTTCCGATGTACGTGAACTCGCGTATTGACTGATTGTCAGTTTCTGGTGTACGTGAACTCGCGTATTGACTGATTGTCAGTTTCCGGTGAACGTGAACTCGCGTATTGACTGATTGTCAGTTTCTGGTGTACGTGAAATCGCGTATTGACTGATTGTCAGTTTCCGGTGTACGTGTACTGGCGTATTTACTGATTGTCAGTTTCCGGTGTACGTGTACTGCCGTATTGACTGATTGTCAGTTTTCGGTGTACGTGTACTGTATTGACTGATTGTCAGTTTCCGGTGTACGTGTACTGGCGTATTGACTGATTGTCAGTTTCCAAGTGTACGTGTACTGGCGTATTGACTGATTGTCAGTTTCCTGTGTACGTGTACTGGCGTATTGACTGATTTTCAGTTTCCAGTGTACGTGTACTGGCGTATTGACTGATTGTCAGTCTCCGGTTACGTGTACTGGCGTATTAACTGATTGTCAGTTTCCGGTGTACGTGTACTGGCGTAATGACTGATTCTCAGTTCCGGTGTACATATCATTTTAACGATGTTCTGATTGGTTTACATGTTCTAGTATACTTGTAACGGTGTATGAGCTGTTTGTTTTCTGCTTCTTTTGATCAGACGCGTACTTTTTTTTCAGTTTCCGGTCTGACACTGAGCTGGATCCTTTTCTTCAATGGTACCGGAAACATGATATCTACGTCCGGATAAGATGGCTGTCCGCTCCATACAGGTAAAGAAATCGTTATGTTGAGTCTCTTTGCCATTGAAAACACAATCTTAAACTATCTTAGATATCTATAGATAATTAAGCATACTGATACTTAAAAAAAAATGCTATACAGCTTAAGTTCGTCCTAGTTAACGTACTTCTCCGGTCAACAGCAATGCCTAGTCACAGGCAGTGGTACACGGATCCTTCATATTGTAACATTTTACCTTACCACTAGACCTTACGGTCGCAGACTTGATAAACAATGTTTTGAATGTGTTTGATAAATTTAATGTGACGTTTTAATACTTCCAGGTATTACCGATGGGTCGTTGCTTCCTGTACAGCTATATGTATACCTTTACAAGTAACTCGGGATCTGACCAGTACGATGACCACAAACTGACCAACATCTGACCGGATAATCTACATAACACTACCGACATTTCAAGTCAATACACTCGTCCTCCAAACTTTCTATACTTTTAAGCCTTAACGAGATATACTTGTTGTTTGAAATTTGTTTCCATCGTAATTGTTTTCACATATTTTCTAAAAGGAAATACAATTTCCTAATAAAGACTATTTATGGTATATCGTTGTGTTTTCTTATACTTACATGTAACCGTCATACATATAGGCTTATGGCATTTCGTCTTCTCGCTTTGACGTCCAAGAAAAGATGGCATGCAGTAACACAAAATAATGAAAAGACAAAACCCCGGAAACTTACAAGAATATACACTAAGTTTCAATTGGTTGTAAATATTCATGTACATATTAGCCCTGTTAATCGCTTTAGTAACCATATACAAAGAATGAAAATGAATGTTGAGAAGAGCTCACATGTCTGTTTATATTATTGACGGGATCTTCCGATGTACATATATGGTTACGAGGTGTTCACGTAATTTTGATTGTCTTCAGTTTCTTCCTGCCTATTACAATTAAAGATGCAAGTCTCTTCTAAAAAAAGGCGAATCGGTCCTTCAGTAAGTTATATGAACGACGAACAAAAACGGAAAGAAAAGGAGAATTTATTAATCCATATTCCACAACACGAATAGAAATGATAACTTCACTCAAATTTAGGCAAGCAGCCTTTTAACCAAAGGCGATACCGGCTGGGTCCATGTGTGTGTCATATAAGCGGAAATCTCGGAACAGGGTGTAGGTATCGGCCGTGGATGCCCAGTCGTCGTCACCGCCTCCAAAGAACGTAGAAAAGAACAGTCCGTCGATGTGGATGCTACTGTGCTTGCGGAACACCAGCGAAGACGAGTGGTAGACAAGCTTGTGATCGAGCCAGACTTTAAGTACTCCGTCATGGCTACCAACGTTGTTCAATTTTACGTACTGTGTTAGTTTTTGCCATCTAGAGAAAACAGATATTTAAACACAAAATATTTATTTTTTATTAATATATCGTATTCAGCCCCCACATATATATTTTATATTTGTTTGGGCCAGAGGGTGTAAATGATCGATTAATTCTGGTAGACATGATCTATTTCAGCGGAAACATCATAAACATATATTTATGCAATCGTAGCGCAATGTTTAAATTGGTTAAGTGGAGAAAAAGGAAATAACCTCTTAAGTTTGATTAAAATATCTTGACCAATACTTTTCTATTACTGATAGACGTGCACAAACATTTACTTCACAACAGCAACTGTTGTGCTCCTTTATTTGTCTCTACGCTACCAGAAAATACCAGAAATATCCGTATCGTACTTATATACATCATGTAAGTAAAGTGAGAGAAAAGGAGATGCACAATGATCATTACGTATCAATGGATTGTCTGCACCTGTCACAAGAAAGGGATAAATACGTCGACATGCTACACGAGTGAGATATATCAATTGACCTATTCGTACGTACTTTTCTTTTCCAAAAACAAAGTCGCCCCTTCCAATGGATTGTCCGGAGTGATCGTTACAGATTATGTGGCTATTTTTACACCACGAGCTGTAATTAGGGTACTGCTCGTGCGGGATGTAGGCGTACACTTCCCCGTCACCACCACCGCGCCACATGAAACGGGTGGAAAAGCAATGCTCGGCACTCCGGTGGCCAGAACAAGTCTGCGTCCCACCCCACAATCCAGGTAACTTTCCACCGCGTACCCAATCAAAATTGTGAGCGAAATATACGTCATAGCTGAGTGTTAGTTCAGAATGACCTTTCACCCCTGTCGGTTGTGAATAGAACTGTACCCCTCTGTGGTCCGTCCCCGAGTAGGATCCGTCGGCGTACTTCACTTTCATAACGTTCCGGTGGGAGTCAGTTGGATCGTGCGCATGCGTAAGTGAGTCGTCTTGACCGAATGTCCCATGACTGATGACGTGAAAGTTGTTTCTTTCATCTCCGGTATCGACGCTATGGGGACTCTCCCATAACATCCGGGAACCTAGTGATGTCATTTTTAAACAGGTCAAATATGGTCAAAATGTATACGCTCAGTGAGATAAATATGCGACGATCAAAACGAAGGAATATCGAAGATCATTCGTTCAAATAATAGAAACAAAGGTTCAAACTAACTAATGTTCGATAGAAAAATGACCTTCATAAAGTGTTCCATTTTTTTAATTTAAAAAATTGACAAACCGAAGTTTGGTAATATGAAAAACAACAATAACAAGTACTATTTATAATGGGGGATCATTACAGAAGTCACCCAAACCCCCCACAGTTGTGTTCGCAGTGCCAAAATAGACCTACACATGAAATTTGAGCAAAATCGACCAATATTTGATTTCGACCAATCAGAGGCCGTGGCGGCCATCTTTGTTGACTGATCGGAATATGAAATGTCATTTGCACACACCCTTTCCATGATGTACACTTGTGTGAAGTTTCATTAATTTCTGTCCTATAGTTTTTGAGAAATGTGTCGGAAACTTACAGCTGATTAACATAATTGTACCTACAACCTTTTGTTAATGTTCATCTAAAAGTGGGGCCTTACTGTCAACATTTACAGGAACAGATTACAATATATAAATGGAAGATGATTAAATGAGTATGCAAAATAGGAACACAATGGTTGTGTCCAAGAGATTGTCAACGAACCCGACTTACTTGGAATTTTATTTAATTCTAACGAGAAATCTTAACAAATTGAAATAAATAGATAAAAAAATGCACAGTAATGATGAAAATCATTATTCGTATTACTTGCTGTAGGTAATTTAAGTAGATTGATATTGAACCAAACGAACAATTGCCGATACATATATCAGTAGTATTAGAAATAGAGGGATTCTCCTCAAGGCACTATAACATCGAATGACTGTATCTAGATTGTTAAATAAGGGTGTTTGGTGTACGATGGTAGATTTCAAATGGGTTTGATACCAATCAACTGGTCAAACTTACTCAATACCTGCTATTGTATCCTGAAATACCGTTATGATATCCAGTAGCAAATTAAGGGTCATAGGTATAATGTGGAATAAACACACGTAGTGTATCGTTTAGGCTTCAGATCAAATCGGGAAACTGAGAACAGGGATGATTTTACTTTCAAAACGTTAAAGACAAGAGTGTTTTAATGTTCAAGCTGTGATTACAGGTTTATCTATGGGGATAAATTTACATAGATTTAAGCAATTCAATTGTATTGCTACTCTGTACAATAAATTGCATTACTACCCTATACAATAAATTTTATTACTACCCTCTACTATACATTGTATTACTACCCTATACAATA